GAGAGAGAGAGAGAGAGAGAGAGAGAGGTGGGCATAGACAGAGACACTTAGTGGGGAGGGGGGGGAGAAAATAATGGGAAAGAAAACCAAATACAGAGCAAGTACAGAGGTACCTTCATAATTACACGTAAATTGTATTCTCATTGGATTTTAAAATTGTATTGCACTATTGTTGTACTTAAATCCACACGCATTTAATGTTGTCATACTTTCCTTTGTCGCCTCCTCTCCCTAGCGCACAGGCATGATGAAAGAGAAAGTCGCTCGTTACTTTCCAGACGAGGAGGAATCCAAGTCAATTCGGTACGGCCAGATTCTGGTGAACCGGACAGGCCGAGCGGAGAATAGAAGTTGGGAGATTCGGACTCTCAAACTTGTCCACATCAAGGTTAGACGAGTCGCCTCACTTCTTTTTAGTTATTGCAAGAATAGACTTGAATTATAATACACCAGACCAGAAGTTGTTTTGGTGATGTTCTTTTTAAACAGTTTTACGGTGCTCGTAATATAAACTGCATACGGTCACATGAGCGCTCGGGACACATTAAACCTTTTCAGTTTAGTAGGGGTTAATTTTGAATTTTGCCCGAGTGGCGGCCGAAGTCTACTCTTGTCAAATTTGGACCACCTTGGAACCTTTATAGTGCTCAACTTCCCTCGGGACTGCCAAGATTTTTCGCTCTTGTCCGAGAAGGCTAAGTGTAGATCTTTCCTACGGGAAAATCAGAGGTGTGGCTGAAAGACAGCAGTAAGAAGGCACCAAGAAGTAGCAGTAGAAAGGCTGCAGAAAGAGTCAGGAGCCCAGAGGAGCGGGCAAAGGAGGCTAGGGGGGTGGGGGCAGAAAGTGGAGACGAATGCAGACGACAGAACATTGCTAGAGAGCAGGAAAAGAGGTGAAAAGAGACAACTTTATAGAAGAAGAAAATTCCGTCGCTATCAGGATTGGAACCCGGGACCTATTGAATAAAAGACGAACACCTGAACCTCTCGGACACGAGAGCCCCCAAGGAAGAGGATGGAATCGTTTTAATAAGAAAGAATAACACTCGAACAGTTGTGCGAGGAAATGCATGTCAGAAATCAGATATTTACTTTGGGGGGGCTGCCTTCCCTTTTTCCTTCACTCATCGAACCAAGTGCTCTGCTTTCGAAATTGCCTATTTGGGTGCAGCAGACCCTTGAAGTGAAAACAAACAGCAAAACAAAGTAAAAACGAAGTAAAACAAAGTGTCGGCCAGCTGTAGAAATATATTTATTTGCCCAAAATTTTGAAATCTATTTTTATTGCAGTTTCTTACTATGTGATGTCGGTTGCATGTGCTCTAGAAGTATTTTGTCGGGAATTCAAATCTTAAATGTCAAAAGAAAGCATGAAAAATGCATAATGTAGGTACAGGTTTTTAGAAGAGTGAAAAAGTTGTTATTTTTCCCTCTCTTCTGTAAAAATCTTAAACTGTCTGTGCTTAGTACATTTTTACAACTTGCCGACGAAAACAAAAGTAAATGAATAGATAAAAGAATTAATAAATAAGTATATGAATGAATAGATGAATGAACGAATGAATGAATGAATGAATGAAAAAGAAGAAAGAAACGGAAAAAGAACACACAAACAAAACTATTCAAAATGCTCTTCTGCATGTACAGGAGAAGAAGAGCCGGTTCGTGAAACATTTCTTCTTCCGCGGCTGGACGGACCACGAGGCAGACATCCAGCCCTCCGAGCTGGTGGACTTTGTGGAAGTGGTCAGTGCCGAGATCGGGAGTCCTCCTACAGCACCTCTACTTGTCCACTGCAGGTGGGTCATTTGATGGGATGGGATACGGGTCTACGCATAGAGTTAGAGCATTGCATAAGTGGATATGCTCTATATAAATGCAATCCATTGTTATTTATTACTTATTTTGGTGTAGGGTTGTTGTTGTTTTTTTAAATTGGTTTTGTTTTGTTTTGTTTTGTTTTCGTTAGTTTGTTTGTTTGTTGTTTTTTTTGCACCCATCGACACAATTTAAATCATAATTAGGACGCAGGCTTCCGACCCTGCTTGTTAGGACCACTCCGGGCTGAGAGGGATACAGCATCCTAGCCTAGTAGAAAGACCATTATACATGTACTCGATACACATTTCCCCCAACCCCCACACACCTCTATACGCTTTTATACTTGTACTCTGAGCGTATAGCCCCACGCCCAACCACTCGATAATACTGTCCCCGTCGTTTTATGCAAGAAAAATTATGAAATTATGCAAACTGATCCCCCCAAAAAGTGAAATTATGCGATTCTCTTAATTCTAACAAAGAATGATAAAGGGAAATAATTTTAAAAAATATGCAAAAAATGATCAAATTTTGCTTAAAATATGCGGGGTGCATAAAACCACGGGGACAGAAAATAGAACTCTGGTTTCCTGAGAGCGACATGGACACTCCTCACCGCTACGCCACAGACACAGAGAAGCCGGTAAGGTCTGCTTGTGCCTTCCCTTCGGAACTTACTTGACCTACTTAACTACTCCCCATAACACCAAGAACAGACAGATGTTATAGAATATCATCATTCGTACCGGAGATGGCTAGTGATTACTTTTTGGTCTCCGTTCGTACCAACTGCAGTGAGGTTACTGAACACACAGTGCTACACATGAAACAGAGAGAGAGAGAGAGAGAGAGAGAGAGAGAGAGAGAGAGAGAGAGAGAGAGAGAGAGAGAGAGAGAGAGAACTCAATTAAGAGACAATCTGAGGAAGGGTGAGAGATGAGTTAATTTAATATCTATCTAATTTATTTATTGCTTACTTATTTATTCATTTATTTATTTATTTTTCACTCTCCACAGACCTGTCAAGGTCCGGGATTTTCGTGAGAGACTTGTTGCTCTCCACAACGACAACAACGCTTTGCTGAATAAGCAGTACATGGTCAGTGTGTGAAAGTGTTGTGTCAGATTCTCCACACAAGACAAACTCTGCTTAACAAAATGAAAAGAAGAAAATACAAATTTTGGTCATTATTATAAGGCGCTACCAGACCATTAAAATGAATTTAGTGGGTGGTTGGCGGGTGTTCTGGTGTGGTTTGCTCCTTCTTTATTCCTCCCCCTTCTTTTTTATGTTTGTTACTCTCTTGTAACACCTCTAATCTTCGGCATTTATATTATGACTTTATTGTGTTGCAAGTGCCGTAAAACACTTACTAAAACTAAAATAACTAAAATGAATTTACTGGAAGGAAATGTGTGGGGCAAAAGGGCCAGGGGTGAACAAAGGACAAAGCGGACAGATAACATGGATTGTCCCAAATAATAATAAGACAGAGTGTATAACTGCAGCTAGCGACCGTACGTACAGGCGGTCATTGCACGCCAACCTCTAAGACACAGATAACTTCTCCAGGCACCCAGGTATATTTAGATGTTGCCACCCACTGTATGAAAGATCACCAAGGAGCATTGGATTTTAAGTAATCACCTAATAACACACTTGGTCCATAATCTGGAAGTCCGCCAGTTTTGATCCCATAAAGGAACCCAAACCACTATACTTTCAGGAAAGTTTTAAAGGTGATATGTTTTTTTTTCTTTCTATCCAAACCGCACATACCTTTTCTGGGTTCAACCTGAGCTGGCCTTCGTAGGCAGGATCGAAGAGGCCTGCCTCCTAAAAAGTATAAATTACATCTAAGGTGGCGTAAAACACCTACGCTTTATTTTATTTTGTTTGGATGAAAGGGGCGAAGAACATCAGCAAAACTAAGCAGCCCGATTCAATGAATGTGGGTACTACCGTTAGGGTACGCCTCATATCAATACTAGAATATCATTATTATTGCGCAAGGTGTGGGAAAACGATCAGGAATAGACAAATACAGTTTCTGAGATACGTGAATTGACATAAAGACCTTGAACACATAGCTCTCATTGACAAAACTGAAGGCAAACCAAGCAGTAGTAGACCATGAGCAACCTACCTAGAAAGATGAAACTGGTCGGTTACTGGGATAGATCAGGACAGTGTAGCTTTCTTTTCTTTTCTTTTTTTTTACCCCTGCCCAATTCTATCATCTGGCGTTTTTGTGTTTAGTAGTAACAACAAAATGTGCAGCATTCTGGATTTTGACGTTAGCTGTTAGTCTAAAAATAAACAAACAGGAGAATATTTTAAATATATAGAAAGTTGAAAGAAAGAAAGAAAAGAGAGAGAGAAAGAAAGAAAGACAGAGAGAAAGAAAGAAATATTTTACTTCACTTTTATAAAGTTTATTGGTAAATTACACTTCAAAGTGTTACCATAGCCCCAACTGGAGATGGTTACAACAACTGGTAGGGTAGTGTAGTTTTATTTAGAACATCCGAGCAAAAGAAAAGATAGAGAACCGGGGCCGCCGATGTCCCTCGTAGCTCTGGCACTTGATGAGGACGATCGGAAAACGTGGGCGTTGTCATGATATATTTTGATTTAGAGAAGAATCTTTTCTTTTCTTTTTTTCCCTTTTTCATCCATGGCGTAATTTTGGTTGTAATTTGTATTCTTTAATTTTGCGATGGTGTAGCATGCGCTCTTGTGTTTGATTGTGTGTATATGTGTGTGTGTGTGTGTGTGTGTGTG